CCTCTCAGGCCACTGTCCCTCTCCAGTTCTTTTGGAGCCTCTTTAGGCAGCGGAAGGGGCTCTAGGTTCTCACAACCTTCTTATCTCTTATCTGAACAGCCGTGGGTGTCCCAGCCTGTCTCAACAGCAGAGGGGCTCCAGCCCTCAAGAGCATCTCCATGGCCTCCTCTGGACTCATTCCAGTTGCTCTCACACCCTTCTGATGTTGGGGGTCCCAGAGCTGGAGGCAGCTCTGTAGGTGGGGTCTCACCTGGGCAGAGCAGAGGGGCAGAATTCCCCCTTGCCCCACTGCCCACAGTGGCTGGGGACCAGCCCAGGACAAGGCCATACAGATTCACCCACCTGGCACTGCGGGACCTCCTGCATCCTCGGCCGGCAGCTCTGGGTGAGCCCCCAGAGTGCCCTTGCCAGCTCTGGGCCTCAGCTCCTGGTTCCACTCTGCCAACAGCACCATCTGGGCAGAGTGGCTGAGGTGGGCTCCAGGCAGCCCCTTCCAGCTTCCACAGGCAGCTCCTCCTCCCTGTATCTCCTGGGGATAGGGAGTGTCAGCCTCACAGGAGGACAAAGCTGGTGGGAGCTGGGGCTCTGGGCTCCAAGGAAGCACCTCAAAGGGCTCCAGGCCACACTGTGCAGGGACAGGATGGGATGAACCACACCAGGCCCCTTTACAAGCATGGTTCAAGAAAGAAAGTGGTGAAAGGCAGAGCTGAAGTACCAGGGTCTGTCTGAGAGCTCAGTATCCTCCTGTGGGACAAGGGGAGGCCGCAGGCAATCAAGACAGGTACTCTGTGCCCACCACGCTGGGCACAGCCACTAGCTCAGCCCAGCAAGCACCTCCCGGGCTTGCGGCACAAGTTATGTCCATGGAGGAGTGCCCATTCCTGCTGCCTTCCCATGGAGAGGGATACAGGGAGGTGTGAGACACACCTACTGCATGCAGGGGTGTCCAGGGGGGTCAGGATCCTGCTCCTGTGGTGTGCACAGGCAGACGAAGGAGGGCTCGAAGTGGCTGCATGGACTGAAGGGCTGGCTGCAGGTGAGCCACAAGGTGGTCCCACTTCTGCCCCACTATCAGCTCTGAGAAATCTGCTGTGGGAAGAGCAGCTGGGGTGGATGGGGCACAGCACTCACCACTGTCCCAACACCACTCCTACCTCTGCTTGTTGCTCTGTTGCTGTGCCACCCAAGACATCTGGGGGATTATGGACATGAGAGGCTGGGGCAGGGAAGCAGAGCTGGTACAGCTTTCCTGAGGCCATGAACAACCCTGATTCCCTGTTCTACTTCTCTTCTACCCTCTATCAGCCACATCCTACTGCCACCCCCATTCCTTGACCATCTACCCTAATCAGCTCCATCCTACCATCAGGCCCACAGCTCTTCCCCATGCCTTTTTCCTTTGGCTCAATCTCTACTTTCCTTAAATATCCAAACCCTGCAGCAATTCTGGTCCACCTTTGAGTCAGCTGGTGGCATCAGTGTGACAGTGGGCACCTGGGTGAAATAGGGCTGGTCACAGGGCCATGAGGAACATCCAACCTCAATCTGCAGAAAGACACAGCCATACTTCCCTGGGGAGCAGCGAGAAGCACAGGGGTGAGGGGGTTCAGAGCTGCTGACCCCATTGTGGGGCATGGCCCTGCCCTCTGCATGGGGGCAGAGGACAGGTAAGTACCAACATCAACACAGCCAAGCCAGGGCCATATGCCATCCTCACTCAGCAGGTTCACTGCTGGGACACAGGGACACAGCATCATGCACCAACACCTCCCTAAACACCTTTCCCTCCAGCTCCAGTTTGTTCTGGGCACAGGGGAGAAGCGCAGAATTCTCTGGTAACCTACATGAACAACACCCCATTTTGAGAGAGCAAGAATCATGTGAACCATTGCCCTTCAGCCTAAAAAAGCGAGCCAGGGCTGCATCCTCTCACACCCTTACCCATCTCTTCAGAGACACCAGCAGCTCAGAGGGATCACTCCCACACCCAGACCCCCAGATGGCCTGGGAGGAGGACACCACATTGCTGATGTCAACTGGAGCCATTCAGGAACCTTGGAGAAAACACTCTGCCGAACATAACTTCCCTTCAGATCCCTCCAGTGCCTGGTGGGGAGAGAGAGTCTGATGAACTTGGGCATATCCTGCTTCTGGAACCATTCAGCAACTCCCCAGTCCCATCCCACCACCTCAAGTGACCCCCAGACCTGTCCCACCACCCCTCAGGTTACAGACCCAGCAGTAATCCCCATATCTGACTCACAGTCCCCCAAGCTCCCTTCAGCCACCCCTGTGCCCCCAGCTCAACCCACAAGGCCCCATTCCCACCCCATTCTGCCACCCACATCCAGCCCAGCCCTATTCTCCAGTGCCCTCAAGTCCTTACCCACAACTCCCTTCAGCTCCACGACCCGTGCTCCCAGACCCATAAACAACGCCCCAGAGCTATTCTGCTACCGCTAACCCACCCCACCCACCCCCCCCGGGCCTTTCCTACTTTCCCAATCCTATTATACCCCTGGCTCTGCCCCACAGCCTCTCCACGCCATTCCCCAACCCACCAGTCCTTCACCCCACAGCTCCCCGTTCAGCCCCCGGCCCCAGTCGCACCGATCCTGAATCTCCTGCCGCCCAAATCACGGGGCACCTTGATCGCCGCTTCCCGCCCGCCGCTCCCGCCCCGCTTCAGCCCCTCTCCCGACCGAGCTCCGGTCCGGGCCCGCGGGCCGGGCCAGCCGCGGTGCCTGACGGGACAGACAGGCCGCGGGCAACGCCGCGCTACGGCCCCGCGCGGGCGGAGCTCAGGAGCCACCTGCGCCCTTTCCAGAACAGCGCGAGGCGGTGCCGGAGAGAGGCGGGCGGGGGCAGGGGGCGGCCCGGCAGCACTGACACTGCCGGTACCGCGGTGCGAGGTGGCTGGTACTGTCGGTGCTGCTGACGGGGGTTACACGTCCCGCTTCGGGCTTAGAAATAGGAGCCGGTCCCTAGCTGTGACAGCTCACCGTTTTCATGCGCCCGAAATGGCGCGTCTGGCAGCAGTTCCACTCCTCCCCTGTCCTGATTGGCCGCCGGGGTAGCGCCGAGCCCAGCGATTGGCCCGAGGTGCGACAGCTTTCTCGATGATTGGTGAACGGCGACGGAAGGAGCTGGCCACTGGGGGGGCGGGGCAAGATGGCGGCTGTGCTGGAGGTGGAGGTTGGCGGCCCCGTTGAGCGTGAGGTGGAGGAGGTGCGGGGGACGGGGTCGGCGGGGGCTGGGCTAGGGAGAACCGGCTAGGGCAGGGGCTGGGCTAGGGAGAACCGGCTAGGGCAGGGGCTGCGGGGCGGGGAGCTCCAGCGCTGTGGGGTGCTCTGTGAAGGGGAGCCGCAGCGGACCCGGGGCCTGGGGGACGCGGGGTCTAGGGGCGCGGGGTAGGGATGTGCGCTGGAGCTCGGAGGGTCCCTGGAATGGGATGGCGGCGGCTCTGGGTCACTCTGAGCTCGTGGGCCTTTGGGGCAAGTAGGTGCGGAGAGTGTTACGGCTGGGGAAGATCCTTGGTATAGGAGGACATTGAGGGTCCCAGGGCAGGGTGACACTGGGAGCTTCGGAGGGCCCCTTGGGCAGGGGACGGTGCGGGCCCTGGGGGCAGGAGGGAAGGGATGGAGGCTCAGCTGTTGTTCCCGTGCTGGCTTTTAAATGTTCCTGGGGATCAAAAATGACAAAACTGGAAAACAAATGTATTTGGAAAGGTGGAATTTGGAGCAGGGTGGGTGGGTCTGTCACAGTGTGCGTGCCACTTTCCAGCACTGCTGCCCTGGGCTTTTCAGTGGCTCTTCACCTGTGCTTCATGCTTGGGAGTTTTTCTTCCACTTGTAGACAGCCACAAGAACTTGGTTCCATCCTGTCTGCACTGTGGAAGCAGCAGCACAGAGGTCATAAGTCACTTAGCTGGTACAGTCCGGCACTTCTTTGTGCCTTTGCTCAAGAGTTGGTGTGGCTTAAAAATTCTCAGATGCCAATGGTTGTTTTGGAGAAGATTCCTGGCAGGGCCAAGTTGTGGAGATGCTCTAGTGTATGGCTGAGCTGTGGGAGCTTGTACTTCATCCCTGTGCCCTGTGTTGCTGTTGGGGAGTGGTGCAGTGGGGCGATGGGAGGATTAAACCACAGGTCAGTCACTCTTGAGTTGCTACTGGTTATATTTTAAGATATTCCTTGGTGACTTGGTATGTAAAAATGTGGAAGATCCAAATCTCAGAAGTGAAATTCCTGCTTTTCATTCCATCGGGGGCTGTCAGAGAGGGCATCATACGGAGGCAGCGAATGATGAGGTGCATATAGGATTGTGCTTATCCCTGTGATTCCACAAAATGTTGGTACAAAATCTATCTGTGTCCATTGTTCTAAGGTCTTGGCAGCTTTTTGGAGGGAGCAAGTTGCTGAGGAGCCACTCCTGGTGGGGACTTGGAAGCAGTTTAACATTCCACCAGAATAAAGCTGAGTGTTCCATGGCCCTGGCTCTGCCTGGGGGTGGTTTAATTCCAGTTATCCAAATGTTTGATCAGTTGGGACACTTCTGCCCCCCGCTCCTTGTTCCTGTGTCTTATGAGCAGAAAAAATGCAGAATTGAGATTCCAAAAATCTCTTCAGAGTTCCACTAAAGAATATGCCTCGTCCCAACCTGCCTTGGTTGTATTTACAGTGCTGTGGAGATTTATTTTCACCTTATTTCAGGTTATTCCTGGTAGGTGCTGGGAGATGCAGACTGAGGTTGGGGCAATGGGAAAGGTGAGATCAGGGCCGTCAGTTGCTCTGGAGCTTTGAACTGAAATCAGCAGCTGCTTATTCTCCATCCTCAAGGCATTCTTCTTGCCTCCTTTGATGATTTAGAGCATAAGTAGATTACAGGCACAGTGGTGTGTATGTTTGCCTGAAGATCCTCCCAGCCCCCTGGGCTGTGAGGAACGTATGGATCCAGGATGTTATCCGTATCAAAGGCCTTTGTGTTTTTCTAGAGGGGATTATTCTGTGACTGTCCCAGTGGTGGGGATCACAGGTTTGTGGAGGCTTTGGGGCATCAGCCCCTGCAGAAAACCAGGGAGTGGCACAAGGTTCTTTCAAAGGCCATGGTACCATGTCTAAGGAGAGGATTAGACTTTAGTCCTAGATAGCCAGTTCCTCCTAGTCATCACCCAGAGGAGACTGAGGTTTTTGAGAGGATCGTGAGTTACAGAGGAGACAGAGAGAAGAAGAATTTTTGTTAATTCCTTTTTTTTTAAACAAAAAGTTTGTCTAAGAGCTGTAATTGGTTGCACATTTGCCCTGTGTTGGTATGGTAGCTGGAGAATGCTGAAAGAGGAGTAGGTTGGTGCTCGACACTTGGTAGAGCTGATCTTCAGCTGCTTCAGTCACCCTAAATGTTCTTGTAAAACCCTTCTTGGAGAAGGGAGATTTTGGAGTAGAGGTTCTTTTACCTAGCTCTTGGGCTTAGAAAGAGACCCAAAAGACTCAAAAACTGCATGTTAAAATCAAACAACCCCAAACTAGAAGTGGAATAAATGTTTGCTAGCAAGAGCAGGTGCTTCCTTCACCATTGCTGTACATTTTTAGCCCCAACCCAAAATCTGTGTGATAAGAGAGTTTGTAGATAAGGGAGGGGTTAACTGGAAGATCTGACTCAGGGTGGCTGCTCTGCCAAGTCCTGTCTGACAGTCATCAGATCCCTCCCAATATCCCTTCTGTCACGTCCTGGCCCCCCCCTTAATAAAGTTATTTCAGGAGCTTTGGGCTCTGGGGAATCTGGTGAAGCTCAGTTCTTGTAATTGAGAGAAAACTGTGCCATGGATCCCTGGTTGGCTTGGGAGTACGGCTTGGAAGAAGCCCACTCTAAGAAATGCCAGCCGTATTTCCATTGAGTTTGGGGCTGAGGTAGCTTAAACACATTTGCTGGAAGAATTTGGAGATTCAGGGAAGATGCTGAAGGATCTGAGGCTGGTAAATATCCCAGTCTGTAAGATGGAACCAACGCTGTGGATGAAGCAGCTGCCGGTGTGGTCCAGAGGAGTGAGCTGAGCCACTGTATAGGAATGGAAATTATTGCTGTGGTTGGAAGGTGCTTGTCAAACGTCTTCATCCAGCAAGCATGGAGGCAGAGCCTGGGAGGAGTGAGGGTCTCGTGAGGGAAGGCAGTGGGAGCACCTGAGTGACTCCCAGAGCTTGTAGAGGGATTGACCTGTGCTGGAGCCAGCAAGCACTAGGGCTTTCTCAGCTTCTCCTGTGTGCAGTGATTAGCAAACATTCTAAAATCTTCTTTTTTCCTGTTTATTTGGAGCAGTTCTTGCTCCAAATTACATTGCAGCTACTGAACTGATGGATCTGGACATGGCTGCTTTAGGAACAGGTGCTCAGGGAATTTGGTTGATACAAACACCCTTCTTGGTGTCAGATTGTCACCACCTTCCCTCAGCTTCTGATGCAAGCCAACAAGCTCCAACAAGGACTTTCATAGCTTTAGATTTTGCATCTAAGTCCTGAAGAAACACTCGATTCTCAAGGGCTGAATTTCTCACAGGTGTTGCTCTGGGGTGAAGCTCAGCAGATATTCCATATCAGGCAGATGGATTGCTGTGGTGGGTTTTTCCCTACCCCTCACCCTGGGGTATAATTAGGTGCCACAGAGGAAACGAGGCAGCTGTTCATCCTCAGCTGAACCTGGCTGTGATCAGAGCTGCTGCCTGGGAGACACGTGGGTGCTGCTGGTGGTGACCAGGCAGGTGAGGTGACTGCTGCACCAGCCCAGGGAGAGCCCCAGCATAAAGGTTGGATCCAAGCCTATAGCCCTGTACCCAGTGGGGTGAGGTGGAGCTTGTTCCTGTATACACATCTCTGGTGTGTGCAGGAAAGAGTGGTAACAGTCCGCGCTATGGCTTGTTTCCAACCTTCATCGCCAACACCTCTGC